CACCCTGGCGCGTCAGGGGGGAAGCCAAGGAAGACGCAAGGAGCAGCACGAGGGGACAGCTTGTCCGCAGACAAGTCGCGGACAAACGCCCGAGATCCCCAGACACGGAACGCAGACACATCGCCAACCTTCCCCGTCCACAGCAAAGCTGGGGAGGTCTCCGGCATGGAGACCCTGGGGTGAAGGTTGATCTGATGCGCCGCGTACCGAACCGCAAACGGCCACAGAAAATGGGGGGCAGCCGCATGCATCATGGACGTACGGGCGACGTCCATGACCATGCCAATGCGGCGCTCAGCAATCCCATTTTGCTGTGGAGAGTCCGGAAGCGTGAAGGTCTGGCGGATGCCTCGTGCACGACAGTAGGCTCGCAGAAGGCCAGAGGAGAACTCTCCACCTCTGTCAGAGTGCAGACGCTGAACAGGAAAGTCCGAGCCGAAGCTCTGCCTGAGCTGGAGACGAGCTGCGCGGATCCAGGCGATCAACACCTCAGTGACATCACCCTTGCTGCGCAAGGGGAAGACTGTGGTGTAACGCGAGTAGTCGTCAACCACCAGCAGGAAGTAGCGCTCGTGACCCTGTCCACGGACGCGGGCTGGGCCCCACACGTCCATGTGAAGCGTCTGCAGCGGGGCCTCTGTCGGAGGAAACTGGGAGGAGTGAGGGGCAGCCCGCTGCCGCCCCTCGACACAGGGGACGCAGGTAGGGCCAGGCCCCGGAGGAAGGGGAGGGAGGGACCGGGGAAGACCAGAGACAAGGACACGGGAGGCCATGCTTCGGAGACGAAGCAGGGAGGGGTGACCAAGGCGGTGGTGCCAGAGGAGAGTCTCGTGAGACAGGAGGCGACACGAACAGGGGGCAGACTCAGGACCAGACCTGGACGCTGCAGCAAACACCTGACCCGACGCAGCTACCTGACCAGACGCAGTGACTGGAGGAGACGCAGTGGTCAGGGTGTACAGGCTCGACCCCGGCCGACGGGTAAACGTGGCCAGGTGTCGGCCTGTCCGAGCGTCCGTGCAGTGGGTCACCCGCCGACTCGCAGGAGTGAACTGGTGAACCCCCGCATCCTGTAGGTCAGCACCACTCACCAAGTTCGTAGAGAACGAGGGAAGGTAAAGACCAGACAGGGTGCCAGAGGGGGCCGCCGGACACGGGAGGACAGTGGAGAAGTGAGCAAGGACAGGACCCCCAGAGGGGTCTGCCAGAGAGACTGCAACTGGCCGGCTAAGCGGCGTGAGTGTGGTGCGGTCTCGAAAGAAGGAGCGAGAAGCCCCCGAGTCAAGGGTGAAGGTGTGGGAGGCCGAAGCCGACGCAGAACCTGAGAGAGCAGACTCACCAGCACCTGAGGGAGCAGACGCACCTAGAGCAGCAGCCTCGCTAGCACCTAGAGCAGCAGCCTCACCAGTACCTAGAGCAGCAGTCTCAATGCCCGGGTCGGGCGGAAAACACCGGTAACAGTCACCCTCATCACTAATAGTCACAGTATACATGGCAGCAAGAATAGCATCAAAGTCAAGGTCAAAGACAGCCACACCCGCCCTAGACAGCTCACCCCAGCGGGGGATCTCAGTGGCCTCAGGGAACTGGTGACGCCAAGCGTCCGTCAGGCGGCCAAAGCAGCGCTGGGTGGAGTGCGCACCCCCGCACTGCTCACCCGCGCGGTCGCCGGTGCGGAGGACGTAGGTGCACGGACCAGTACCCCCACCCCTCTGGCGTGCAGTGTACCACTCACGGAGCTGCTGAGGGGAGGGGATGTCACGAGTGCGCTGCTGGTGCTGCTGCTGCTGCTGGCGCTGACCACCACCGGAGCCGACCCTCTGCGCAGCGCCACCCCGACCAGCTCCACCTCCTCCGCCGCCTCCTCCTCCACCGCCGCCACCTCCGCTCCCTCCGCCACTGCCGCTGCCGCCTCCGCCTCCACTGCCGCCACCGACACCTCCACCCCCGCCACCACCCCCACCGCCACCCCCACCTCCTCCACCGCCACCCCCACCTCCTCCACCGCCTCCACTGCCGCCTCCACCGCCCCCGCTAGCTCCTCCAGCGCCCCTGCCCCCCTTGCCCTTGCCAGGGCGGCGTCTCCCGCTAGGGGTAGACGCCGCACCGACCGACTCAAGCCCAACGAGGTCGGCCGCAGCAGCAGAGGCAACAGAGGGCAAAAGGGGGGAGGGGGAACACCCCTCAAAGATGGGGGTGCGAGGGTCACCACGAGAGGCTCCTACAGCTACTATGCTCTTCTCTGCTGCTAGGAGGGACTTCTCGAGGAGGTCAACGGTGAGAGTGGTGGGGCAAACTGAGAGGAAGTGGTCCCTGACTACGCGAAGGGAGTCAGGGAGCCGGGTGACTATGTAGTAGAGGGTGATGTACATGGGGGGGGGGGTTCTTGGCGCAGAACTCAGCAGGAAGCGCAGCGCGGTAGCGAGTGTCACTAGTGCGTAGGTGCGTAATGAGGTCAGCGACTGTGGGAAAGGCAGCAAGGTCAGGGAAGAGGTACGGTAGCATGAGGCGACTCAGTGCAGCAGTGGCAGGGGAGGAGTAGCGTGCAACTACAGCGTCGTACAAGGTCTGAGCACTCTTGTACTGGCTAAAGTGCGCACGCTCAGAGGTAGGCAGGTGGCGACGCACAGCAAGACGTGCAGCAGCATCGCGCGTGGCCCACTGGGAGCGAACAGTTGCGTCAGCATCAGTGGCGGGGGCAGGAGAGGCACCAGAAGTGAGGTCAAAGAGGGAGAGGCCGTCTGCCCTATCGCACTATAAGAAAAGCTGCAGGTCATCTATCCAGACGTCAAAGTCAATGGCCCGACCCTCAGCGTCAAAAGCGAGGACACTAGGGGTAGCCATGACAGCAGTAGACTAGCAGCGCAAACAGTGGGGTGAGGGCAGTGCTGTGAGAGAGGCGCTGCTTTTACCGGACAGGGCGGCTCGGGCGGCTCGGCTGCAGGGCGGCTCGGCGACTCGGCTGCTGGGCGGCTCGGCTGCTGGGCGGCTCGGCGGCTGGGCGGCTCAGCGGCTCGGCTGCTGGGCGGCTCGGCGGCTCTGCTGCTGGGCGGCTCGGCTGCTGGGCGGCTCGGCGGCTCGGCTGCTGGGCGGCTCGGTGGCTTAGCTGCTGGGCGGCTAGGCTGCTGGGCGGCTCGGCGGGGCCGCTGAGAGGGCGGCGTCCGGGGCCGCTGGGAGGAGGCGGCGGGGCCGCTGAGAGGAGGCGGCGTGGCCGGAAAGGTAGGTGGTGGGGCCGCGTCAGGGGCCGCGACAGGGGCCGCGTCAGGGGCCGCGTCAGGGGCCGCGGCAGGGGCCGCGTCAGGGGCCGCGGCAGGGCCGCGTCAGGGCGCCGCGTCAGGGGCCGCGTCAGGGCGCCGCCAGGGGCCGCGGCAGGGCCGCGTCAGGGCCGCGGAAGGGGCCGCGGCAGGGGCCGCGTCAGGGGCCGCGTCAGGGCCGCGTCAGGGCCGCGGCAGAGCCGCGTCAGGGCCGCGTCAGGGGCCGCTTCAGGGCCGCGGCAGGGGCCGCAGCAGGCCGCGTCAGGGCCGCGTCAGGGGCCGCGGCAGGGCCGCGTCAGGGCCGCGGCAGGGGCCGCGTCAGGGCGCCGCGTCAGGGGCCGCGTCAGGGCGCCGCCAGGGGCCGCGGCAGGGCCGCGTCAGGGCCGCGTCAGGGCCGCGGCAGAGCCGCGTCAGGGCCGCGTCAGGGGCCGCTTCAGGGCCGCGGCAGGGGCCGCGTCAGGGCCGCGTCAGGGGCCGCGGCAGGGCCGCGTCAGGGCCGCGGCAGGGGCCGCGTCAGGGCGCCGCCAGGGGCCGCGTCAGGCCGCGTCAGGGCCGCGTCAGGGCGCCACCAGGGGGCGCGTCAGGGGCCGCGATAGGGCGCCGGCAGGGGCCTCGTCAGGGCGTCGCCAGGGGCCGCATAGGGGGCGCGTGAGAGGCGGCGTAGGGGCCGCGTAGGGGCAGCGTAGGGGCCGCTAAAAAAAAAAATTAGGGCAGGGCGCAATGTGCGCGGGCAGCTAAAAAAAAAAAAAAAAAAAAAATCTTATGGTGGGCCCTTAGGAAGGAACGGTCCCATGTAGGAACCCGCTCTACACCATGTGAATCAAGAAAACAGGAATGAAATGACTAAGTGAAAGTTGGGTACAAAAAAGGCAAACCCTAGGCAACTGTACCCCATATGTGCTACCCCACTATAGCCTACAGTAGCTATGTCATATAACTCTGACATTCCACCCTCAGGCGCTCCAACTCGCCAGACATAGTCTGCATGTTGGATTGCATCGCCCGAAAGTCCTGCAAAAACACGTCAAACTCTGCTTGCGTCATGTTTCGGAGACTCATCCTAGCGGGCAGCGGGTTAACAGCGATTTTTATGGTTTTGATGAAGGCGCAAACGCTATTAGTCGGATCGAGATAATCGTATCTATCTCTCAGCCGACCTCTTTGCAGCCCACCAAACCTATCGCACCCCTGCACTAACTACCCCGGAAAGTGGAGGGTAACCTAGGAAAGTAGCTCTGATACCAAGTGTTATGAGTTGTATGAAAAGAAGAGTGCGCAGAATGCAATATCGCAGAAGTGATTACAACTACTCAGCAAACAACGAGGCCTAGGCATAATATAGCACAGCTAGCTAGGCCGAGGTCGCGGATTCGCGCGAAGGTTGGGTGCAGGTTTGGGGTTGGGAAATCCGAGGGCGACGCGGGAGACGTTCGGAAGGCGAGGTCGTCGGACCGAGCCTGAATTCCGAAAGTTGGAATTGTACGCGTAAGAGATGCCTCAGTAAGGAATTAGCGAAATTCCTTACAGATTACGTTTACGGTATCACTTGCATCGCGTCGGGTCGACTCTGACAGGAAACATTTCCCGCCAGGACGAGCCGTTTGAGTTTGAGCACAACATTTTTGTTTTCAGATGCTTCTGTTGGATATTCATCATTTGCATGGTTTCTATGCGTCAAAGTATCCAGTTGTCTCTAGACCAAGATCCACCCGAGTGAGAGAAACGTGAGTCGTGTCCGGCAGAGTAATGTGCACAAGTCACCGTGATTATGAGAACGAGGGATTGTTGAGAGGCAAGAGCACTTCTATAGCCGGTGATACGAGTAATTTGACGTCACGCGATCGTCATGGCATTCTCGCTGGGAGCTGCTGAGGATCCAGCTGGCGAAATGAGAGGGACGAGCGAACCACGCGAGAGGAAGAGGCAGAGGGAAGATAGCCGTCAGGACGACGTTGACCCCGGAGGCAAGGACCCATGTTCATCGTAGCTTGACCTTATCGCGACGCAGCCATTGATTTTACCTCCGTCGCCTCGCATCTAGGCTCGAGAAACAAGGCAATCAGAATTGACGTCTTCCCAGTAAACTCTCCCAATCCCTCCACACAACCAGATAACCTGGCAACTTGCGTCCCTCCCTCCACTTGTGTTGTATTCCCTCATATCCACCTTCATTCCTCATCTCAGGAGCAGTTTTTGTAGTCAAGATAGAAGCTCTTTCCAGCCCGTATTCATTCCTAAATCCTGAAGCAGATACCGCTCGGCCTCAGCATCCCAACGCACCTCTTGTTCTCTTCTCAGTCCCTAAATCACTGTTCGAATTTCTGTCTGTATTCTTCCGCTCTCCCTCTCCCTATCCCTCTCCCTTTCCCACCCTCGTCCTCCCCCTCTCACTCTTCCTCTCGCTCATTTTCAGATCAGGGCAGCGATGTGATCGACGCGCTACCAGCGGCGCTCTGGCACCGCATCTTCAGCCTGCTGCTCGAGCGCCGATGCATCGCCACCCCTCCGCACTCCGCGGGCGGCCGCTACTACTGCCGCGCGCTAAGCGCAACGCAGCGAGCAGAGTTGAATGCCACCAAGGCGAATGCCAATGGTGGTGATCGTGGCGCTGCGAATCGTGCTGGCACCAACGACCCACGGAACGCTGAGAGTTGCGCCAGCAGCAGCACGGGCAAGAGCAGTAACGGCAAGTGCGAGGACGAAGGCAAGGGCAGTGCAGGGGAGAGCGACGAGGAGGAGGAGGAGGCGAAGGAGAGCGTGGTGTTCGTGAAGGCCGGGGTGTCGCCGTGCTGGCTGCATGCGCACAACGCTCGCACGTTCGGGTCCTCGTGGCCTCTGCTGTGCTGCGCGCTCGCCAGCAAGAGGCTGCTCCACCTCGTCGCCTCCTTCTCCGTGAGTCCCATGCTCGCTCTCCCCCTCTCTCCCTCACTACGCCTAGTGCTGGACTCTCAGCTGATAACCTCCACTTCCACCTTTTCGCGCTCTCACACCTTCTGCCCTCTTTCTCCCCTCCCTCCATCTTTCCCCTATCCCCTTTCCTCCCCTCCCTCCCTCCCTCCCCCCTCCCTCCCCCCTCCCTCCCCCCTCACTCCCCCCTCCCTCCCCCCTCCCTCCCCCCTCCCTCCCCCCTCCCTCCCCCCTCCCTCCCCCTCGCGTCCGACTCCAGGAACACGGCACGCCTATCAGTCTGCACCTCACCTCCGCCCAGCCCCAGTGGACCACCAGCGTGCGCTGGCTGCTCTCCCGCTCCTCTCCCACCTTCCCTTCCCTCCGCCTCTCCTTCTCCCACCCCTCCCTCATCCCCCTCATCCGCCGCCCCTTCACTCTCCCCTCCTCCCCCGCCCCCTCCTCCATCTCATCCCTGCACCTAACTCTGAGCATCAGAGAATCCTTCCCAAAGGAGGATTACCGTAAGAGCCACTGGTATCTGGCATTTCTCACTCCCTGCTCCTCCCTGCACTCCCTCACACTCGGACGCGGCGCCTGGCGCTTAGGTAAAGGCTGCCTCACCGCCCCCTGGATGCAGTCCCTTCGCAGCTTAACCCTAAAAAATGTGGACCCCGGGGCATCTCTCTTAAAGCCCTGGCCGCCATTGCACCTCAGCTGCACGAATTCACGTTCTGCGAGCCGCATAAGGTGGAGGAGGGGGCGGGGCGGGGAGCTTTCACAGGACCCGTGCTGCTGTGCCTCGAGTTCCCCAGGGCTCGCCACCTCTCCTTCCGCTTCCTTAACCACGAGCTCAAGCTGAAACTCTCCCTTGCTTCTGATTCTCTCACCTCCTTCGCAGCCTCTGCTCTGTCCCTCACACTCGCCTGCCACTCTGCCCGCCCTCTAACGTTGACCCAGCTTTTTCTGTTTGGGGAAGAGAGGATCCATATTGCCTCCTTTGACATTGCCTCTGTCCGTGCGCTTTACCTCAACGCTCCGGTTAATTTTCTGTCGCCGCGCCCTGCCCCCATCCCTGCCGCTGTTCGAGAAGCGGAGGTGTGCGGGGATTCGTTTCTGTATATCCCGCCGCCGTTGCCATTCGCATGGGCGGACTGGCTGCGTGCACTTGCGCCTACAGTGGAGCTGCTTATAGCGAGGCATGACATCAAGCTTGCGGACTGCAAATTCCCCTGGCCGCGGTTGCGGAGCCTTGGGATTGTCGTGGAGAGCGATTACTTTGCGTGGAACGAACCTCGCGGGGAGATGGCGGTGGAAGATGTGGCGAAAGCAGATGGGAACGAGTATGTACAGTTTTCGAGGGACCAGCGGAGTGATCGGAGGGAGGAGGGGAGGGAGAGGGAGCACGATATGTGGAGTCGAGGGTTGACTCGCTTCCATGCCAGCCCATTTGGGAACCAGCTGGTTGGTGTTGGACCCGACGACTATGATGGTGTTGATGCTGGTGGAGACCTGAATGATACGGTGCATGAGGCACCTGCACACAGGCCTCATTCCCCCTCTCTGTGCATTCCTCCAAGCATCAACGCTCCGAATCTGCGAGCCATCTTCTTCCCGACCCTCGGCGACACACCCACAGCCCTGCTGGGAGATCTCAAGGCGAGGTATCCGTCTCTGGCGCTGTACTGTGTTGCGAGGCACACGTGGTACTGGGAGAGGAAAGGGATGAGGTTGATTGATGGGCCGGTGGCGCATGTGAGGGGGCCGAGAGGAGGGAAGGGTAGCGCTTCTTTCAGGAATGGGCGGAAGAGCGTTCGGGACAAAATGCACAGTGTGAATCTGGGGCTGATGGCAGGGTATAGGTTGGATGAGGAGGAGTGGTTCATGGTTGAGGGTCAGTTGTGGTTTCCGGTGGTTGGTGAGGAGGAGGGGGGGGGAGATGGTGATGATGATAGCGATAGTGATGAGTTTGATGATGAGGATGATGACGAGGAGAAGATTGAGCATGAGGATGAGGATGAGGATGGGGATGAGGATGATGATGATGAGGATGACAATGAGGACGAGGATGAGTAAGGAAGGAACTGTCTTCGGATGGAACTGTCTTCGGATGGAATCGATGCAGTGGAGTACAATGCACGTACTAGAGGTTTATTGATGGACCCGACCCCGTCTATTCCCAATGTAGTAGTTTACGCGTTCGTCAAATCTAAGTAGGTACATTGTTTCTGTGTGGTTCAGTGATGTATACGCCTTTCTACGTTATGCCCAAAGCATGCCTTGTGTCCACTTTGTGGAGCATGCCGACCCACCAGAAGTCACTCACAAACAGATTCACAAGATTCCGAATGACAGACTGTGGTATTGTTTTCCGAAGCTGAGGATGTGCAACAAAAGATCAAAATGGAGGCTCAAGTTAGGGGTTCTATTATTTGTAGTTGTACGAGTGCAGGGTAAAGGGAGAGTGCACGATTCCTTGCATGTATCTTTTAGTTGTTGATTCCTTCAGTTTCATGACGAACCACTCCATACAATCAACCGCTTCGCGTCGCGTCACGTCCACTCTGACAGGATTATCTCCCGCCAGGCAGAACGGTTTGATTTGAGCTCCACATTTTTGTTTTCGTCCAGCAGCATAGGCTCCTATGGTTTAGCCAAGGCTCATCATCTTCATGATTAAAAAACGCATCAAAGCTTCGAGGTCACAGGTTTGAGTCCAAGACAGCCCCAAGGCCCACTCGCTTTATTCCATTCTCCCTGCAGGTTTGATTTGATCCCATACCCATACATGGGCAGTTGAACTACGAGACCTCGACACTAATGCACAGATGTCACCTTGATGATTCAAACGAAGAACCGATGAGAGGCGAAATCGATTTATAAAGCCAGTGAAACGAGTCATTCGAATTTACGCTATCGCCATGGCATCGTCGCTGGGCGCTGCTGGTGATCCCATTGGCGAACTGAGAGACACGAGCGAGCGACGCGTTCAGAGGAGGCGAACGACCGATAGACGTCAGGACGACGCTGACCCCGAAGGCAAGGGCCCACATCCTGCCGGAGCTAGATCGAAACGTGACGCAGTCGCTTGACTCAATCGCGGCTAAAAAGCAAAACATCCATACTTAAATGTCTGCGCAATGAATATTCCATCGTCAATATAGCAACTCAAGCTGGCAGTTTTGGAACTCCCCTCGACCTTCATTCCTCATTTTGGAAGCGACTTATTCCACCATCACTCCTTAATTCCGCTCCATCTCGGCATCGACACACTCCGTTTCTATCTCCTCCTGTATACTGACTCCCTCTTCCTCTCTCTCTTCCTCTCCCGCTCCCTCTCCTTCTTCTTCGCCCTCTCCTTTTATCTCGCCCTCTCGCTCACAGACCATGGCAGCGATGTGATCGACGCGCTCCCAGCGAGACTCTGGCACCACATATTCCGCCTGTTGCTGGAGCGCCCCTGCAGCGCCACCCCTCCACACTCCGCGGGCGGCCGCTACTACTGCCGCGCGCGCAGCACGGCGCAGCGAGCAGAGGAGAATCGCAGTGGCACCGGCGGTGGCGGCGCTGGTGGTGCTATCAGCAATGTCCCACGGGCCGCTGAGAATGGTGCGGCTAGAGTGGCACCAGTGCCCGTGTTCGTGAATCCCGGGGTGTCGCCGTGCTGGCTGCATGCGCACAACGCTCGCACGTATGGCTCCTCGTGGCCTCTGCTGTGCTGCGCGCTCGCCAGCAAGAGACTTCTCCACCTCGTCGCCTCCTTCTCCGTGAGTGCTCCACTCGTTCTCCGTCCCTCCACGCCCTCTCCCACCGAGTGCTGCCCATCAACACACTCTCGTTCCCCGTGATACTGTTCTCCAGGAGCAATCACCATGTCTTCTTCCTCTTCACTTCATTGCATTCTCAGCTGTAAAGAAATTGCGTGTGTCTCTGTCCGTTACAGCCATGCGTGGTATCTTCGTGCTCTCTCCTTCTCTCTCGCTACTGCTCTCACTGCAATGTCGGACTTACTCTTGATAAGCTCCACTCTCAACTGCTCACACCACCCGCGTGATAAGCCCTTATCTTTTCTTCCCTCCCTCCCTGCCTCCCTCCCCTCACCCACCAGGCACACGGCACGCCCATCAGTCTGCACCTCACAGCCGCCCAGCCCCAGTGGACCACCAGCGTGCGCTGGCTGCTCTCCTGCTCTCCCGCACCCCCATCCCTCCACCTCTCCTTCTCCCACCCCTCCCTCATTCCCCTCATCCGCCGCTCCTTCACTCTCCCCTCCTCTCCGGCCGCCTCCTCCCTCTCATCCCTGCAACTAAGCTTGGGTGTCAGAGAGAAATTCACAGAGGAGGATTACCGCCAGGGGGATTGGAATCTAGCCTTTCTCAAGACCTGCTCCTCTCTGCGTTCCCTGACACTCGGACGTGGCGTTTGGCGCTTAGGTAGAAGCTGCCTCACCGCACCCTGGATGCAGTCGCTTCGGAGTTTGACTCTCAAGAATGTGGACCCCAGGGGAATATCTCTTAAAGCCCTGGCTGCCGTTTCCCCTCAGCTGCACGAGTTTTCGTTCTGCGAGCCGTGGAAGCTGGAGGAGGAGGGAGGGGAGGACTGCAAGGGACCGGTGCTGCTGGCGCTCGAGTTCCCCAGGGCTCGCCGCCTCTCCTTCCGCTTCCTCACCCACGAGCTCAAGCTGAAACTCGCCCTTTCTCATGACTCCCTCACCTCCTTCTCCGCCTGTGCCCAGTCCCTCACTCTCGCCTGCAGCTCTGCCCGCCCTCTCACGTTGACCCAGCTTTTGCTGTTTGGGGAAGAGTGGATTCATATTTCTTCCTTCAATGTTGCCTCTGTCCGTGCGCTGTACCTCAATGGTCCGATTAATCTGCTGCCGCCACGCCCCCACCGCATCCCAGCTGACGTTCGGAAAGCCATGGAGATCTGTGGAGACTCGTTTGTGTATCTTCCGCCACCGCAGCCGTTTGCATGGGCGGACTGGCTGAGTACACTTGCGCCAGCAGTGGAGCTGCTTATAGTGAGGCATGACATCGACCTCGAGGCCTGCAGGTTCCCGTGGCCGCGGCTGCGGAGCCTCGGGATTGTCGTGGCGAGCGATTATGATGTGATGAACCCGGTGCGAGGGGAGATGGCGGTGGAAGATGTGGAGAGAGCAGATGGGAATGAGATCATCGAGTGGACGAGAAAGCAGAGGAGGAAGGAGAAGGCGGAGGCGAGGGAGACGGAGCACAGGATGAGGAATCAAGGGCTCACTCGGTTTCATGCAGGCCCGTTTGGCAACCAGCTTGGGGTTGACGATGTTGATGATGATGATGACGATGTTTATGGTCCACTGGAGCGAGAGACGCCTTCACGCAGATCTGCTCCCACTCGACTGTACATCCCTCCGAAAATCCATGCTCCAAATCTGCGGGCCATCTTCTTTCCAACCCGCCGCAACACACCCCGAGCCTTGCTAGCAGACCTGAGGGCGAGGCATCCCTCTCTGGCGCTGTACTGTGTTGCAAGGCACACGTGGTACTGGGAGAGGAAAGGGACGAGGGTAGAGGGTGGGCCGGTGTCGCATGTGAGGGGGCCGAGAGGAGGGAAGAGCAGTGCGTCGTTTAGGAATGGGAGGAAGAGCGTGCGGGACAAGATGCACAGTGTGAATCGCGGGCTGATGGAGGGGTACACACTGGATGATGAGGAGTGGTTCATGGTGGAAAGACGGAACTGGAAGCATGTGGTTGGTGAAGAGGAGAGGGTGAGTGATCGAAATGGTAGTGATGGTGATGAGTTTGATGACGAGTACAATGAGGATTAGGATGAGTAGGTAGGGACGGGGATTTGAAGGAGGTGAGGTGAGAGTGCATTCTGGCACATGGTTTCATCTTTTTTGGCAGGCCAAGTGGATTATACGTAAGGCATGCTTAATGTTGACTCTACAAAGTAGACCCATTACCATACATGCAGAATGCATATCCCTACAACAGGTTGGCAGATTTCAATTAATTAGCTTGTATGGAAGGTCGATATTGTAAGAGTCAGAGGCCTAGGAAAGCCTTGTTTTAGGATCGGAACTAGTAGTTAATTAACAAAAAAAAAAAGAACAAATGCTTGTGGTTTATTCACAGGAAGTTCAATTTCGAAGTAGCATGATTTATTTCACCGCTTTAGACCATTGCACATCCGACCGCAACCTGCAAAAGTCAGCTGTATTTGAAAATGAGAAACCCGATTCAGTAGGGATGTTGCAGGGGGTCACACGCCAGAGTGTGTTGACCAGGCTGTCCAGAATGCACACCACGACCATCACTCAATCACTTCCATTCCACTGAACAAAAAGCTGTGCTTGCACGAAGTTACCAGTGCTCTCAACTCGTCAAGACGCGTTAGTTTGAGTGCATGTTATTAGTGCTCGTCGCATTAAACTTCCTCTTGACCCCCTTTCTCTTGAGATATTCCTCGTAGCAATACCCTTTGCCCAAGGGCTTCGTGTGTGACAGTCTTCGACTTTAAATAGATATTGAGTAGTTATTGACCACAGGTGTTCGGCTTCGAGACATGTCGCGCCTCCATCGACAGGCAATATCTTACAGGAGGGCCAGTTAGTATGCGTCAACATGCAAGCGTCCTGCTACTTATCATTTTCCTCGACGTGAGTTGATGATTCGTGGCCATCCTTTGAAGATAATGACCTTTTTCATTCTCTTAATCCTTTAAGGTTCCAGGTCATATCTTTGCGTGGAGAAATGGCTGGAACACAATGGTCAGAGTCAATTCGTGATCTGGTGCAGTGTGCAGACGGATTCGGGGGCAAAGTCACAGGCGGGCATGCTGGACCCTTTTTTTGGGTCACAACTCTTTCGGATTCTGGGCCTGGTAGTTTGAGGCAAGTATTGAACAACCAATAGCTTTGTTGTGCCATATATTTCGCATCTTATTCTTTGTCACTTGCCATGATATAGGGAGGGGGCAACAGTTCATGGCTCTCGCTGGATACTGTTCAACATTTCTGGTACAATCTGCCTCTCTAGTCCAATCGGTGTTGCCTCAAATAAGACAATCGACGGCCGTGGTCAACGTGTCGTCATTTCGTGCAATGGCCTTCATATCAGGTCCCAAACATTTTTTTAGCTTCAAGTTCCGATTCAAATTGGAAAACTCTCGTCGTTCTGTAACACTGTCCTGGTTGTTTCTGAGTAGACATGCTTCTCAGAACATCATCATCAATAACCTTATTTTCTGGAGAGGTGGAGAGGATGCCATTCAGCTGAAGTACGGGGCACAGCGAGTTTGGATAAACCATGTGAGCATTGGAAGATGGGGAGATGGTGCGATCGATGTGACACGTGGCTCCACAGACGTCACAATATCACGAAGCCTTTTTCACCACCACAACAAAGTTATGCTTGTTGGCTCACAGGTAAATGCTTGCTATATTGCTGCTTGCAAGCATGACTCTTCGTGACTTTTGTGTTGCATGCTTGGCAGACAGATGCTGAAGAATCCAAAGACCACCCTGTGAATCTTCATGTCAGCATTCATACTAATTGGTTCGCTGGGACCGTTCAGCGCCATCCTCGAGTTGTTGCAGGATTGGTTCACGTTTATAATAATGTCTTCCAGCATTGGGGACTGTATGGAGTTGGTAGTACCTGCCATGCTCAGGTGGCTGCTTCTGTCCTCTTTTGCATACATACAGTGCTCGTCTTTCTTTTGGCTAACATGTCTTTTGTGCAGATAGCCATGGAGAGAAACATTTTCCTCGCAGGCAGGTCGTTTTCGGGTGCTCGAATTTTTGATCGTCTGGATTGGCCCAGTAATTATGGAAGAACCCGGTCTGTCCGAGATTTACTCATTGATGCAGCACATCTTCACGAGTACGACCCAGATCACGTGTTCAACCCCCGAGTATGTGCTGGTATGCGCTGTCTGTGCATCCTTTGGTTACCACACCATGTCTTATGCCTGTTTCTTTGATCAGGACTTCTACAATTATACTGCAGCTGAAGCTACTCCGGATTTGATGGTTGATGTAGCCGGTAATGCTGGTTGGCATGATGTTCATCTTCCATCTGAGACCGGCAAAAGATGTTAACGTTGATGGGAAACATGCTGGATGTGCAGCAGCTTACCTTGTCACCAAGGCAAAATATGTATGGACAGGATTAGGTGGAAGAGCACACACCAGTTGGGGTCAGCATTTATATGCTGTTGCACTATGTGAAAGAGCATTTTAGTAAAATCCCCTGCAGCAAAGCATACCACTGCGGAACATCAAATGTGGAGCCTACATACACAAAAACTCACATGTCCTAGTCACGAACCATAGATGCTATATCTATCATTGGCTGCACAGCCCCTAAGGAACTACAAATAAGCAACATGCTTGCCAAACATGTCAAGAGTGTCAGGGAGGTATACATAGATAAGCAAGAAAGCCACCATTTGCACTGTGTGGCAGAATCTTCTGACAAACAAGGCACAGTTAGTGCCATGTGAGAAGATGCAGGTAGAGTAGCATGCTGCTGACACTGACGGCGTATCATGCTTGGGGCTCAAAGCAGCTGGTGATCAGCGCATCCGAACATGCTGGTTCGGAAGAATGAGGTCGGGATTTCGAATGTGCGGGTTCAGCTTCACCACATCCTTCCACTTAGTGCCGCTGCCATGCACCTTCTGTGACAAGCTCCACAGAGTGTCACCTGACTGTACAGTCACCTTGGCAGGCTTGACAGGCCCCGTAGATCTCTTCGGCTTAGCTGCTCCCTTCTTCCCCATGCCATTGGCCGCTAGCCACCTCGACCCTGCCTGCCCCTGCTTCTGATTCCCCCATCCCCTCTTCGCCGCCTCTTCGGTTTTCAGTCCCATCATGTGCACGCCTGTCAGCTTAAACCGTGCTTTCTCCACGCCGCCTTTCCCCCCGGGCTGCTCGTCATCATCCACCTCCTCCACGATCGGATCCCCATCCCTCCGCCGATTGCTCGCTCCGTTCCGCACCGTCAGCGGCCCTCCCGAGGGCCGCACAGCTGCGCCTGTGTGCAGATTATACGCTATCCTCCTCACTCCTTCGCCTCCTGGCAACGCCTTAGCACCTCCCTCCAGTGCTGCTACACCATTACCACTGCTCTTCTCATCATCATCAGCAGCAGCAGGGGGGGCTCGTTCCGCCTGCAGCAGAGCCATCATCGGCGCACCCACAGGCTCAAAGTTCCTGAGAGGGTCCCTCAGCTGCACCAGCATCGCCACTGTCACCTTATCCCCCATCAACCCCCCATCTCCCCCTCCTCCTCCTCCTCCTCCTCCTCCTCCCATTCCACCCACCATCCCCCCCATCCCTCCCATACCCATCATCCCCATCCCTCCCGCACCTCCCCACGCTGCAAGCCCCCGTCCCGCTCCCATCCCACCACCCATCCCACCTCCCCTCACAGCCGCCAAATCCGTTCTCAACCGCGCAATATCATGCAGAACCATCTCGCCAGCGCCATGCGCAGCACAGTGCGCCTGCAGCACCGCTAGAGTGTCATCCTCTGTTTCAAAGTCCTCGAAAATCCCAGCGTCCAGCCGTTGCCACTCGTCTAATGATACCGCCAGTCCCATCGACCCCCCCCCTGCCGCCACCATCGCCCATTCATCCCCCCCTGCACCCATCTCCGCCCCTCCATACCCCCCATTTGTCAGCATCCCCGCTCCCCCCCCGCCATACATCAACTCCCCCATCCCTCCCCTCCCCGCCCCCCCTCCCATCCCCAACGCGCCATACCCACCCATCCCCAACGCACCCCCGCCCCCACCCTCCTTCCCCAGATCAATTGCATACGGCGCCAGCAAATCAGAAGCGTCGTTCTGCACTCTAAGCCCCTCCAACGCCATCCGTTCGATCTGCTCCATCGCCAGCGCGCCCAGCTCATCCAACGGCACATATTCCTCCTCGCCATCCTCCCACCCCTCCTCCTCCATCAGCATAAGCTCCCTCTTCAAGTCCTCCTCCATATCCTCCTCCTCTGTAAACAGATCCCCTGCAAGCAACCTTCGGTCCCCGTTCGCTCCGTTCGCTTTGTTCCCTCCCTTCCCTCCCTTCCCACCGCCAACACCAGCTAACTCCCCAGCCGTCCGCCTTAGCAGAGCCAGCCGCCCCTCCTTAGCTCCGCCTCCCCCAGTTGCGCCCTCCCCTGCTTCCCCCTCCCCTCCCCCTCCGCCCTGCTCCAGCAGAAGCTGCTTTTGCATAATCCTCTGCTTTGCCACGGCTATCATCCTGCCTCGGCGCCGCAGCCGAACCAGAGTGCCAGCCAGGGCGGACTGCCGAGCCACCGCCGCCATAGCTTCGGGCGTCAAGCCGCCGCCCATACCTAATGCCAAGGCTCCTGCCGAGCCTCCTCCCACTGTTGCCAGCTGTCCCGCGCCTACATGCACAAGCTGCCCGCCTTGCATCCCTGCTGCTGCTCCTGCTCCTCCCTCTAGAGCCAAGTAATTCCCCCCTGCACGCCCCTCCAGGGCCAGATAGCCTTCTCCTCCCCCTAATGCTGCTGCTGCTGCTGCGCCAAGGGCCCTCCTGAAACAGGGAAAAGAGGGGACAGAGAAAGCAGGGGAAAGGAAGAGAAGCTTCACGTGGTGGTTCAAGGAGAGGGGTGATACAGGGGGGCATTCGCTAGCACTCATTCCTTGTGAGCACAACAACACATGTGTGTTCACTAAAACCGACCATATCTGAGCCAGTTGTGAGAATTCTCACAAGTAGTTCAGGGGAGGGGTGGTAGTGGGGGGCAATCGATTCCACTCATTCCATGCGAGCACAACAACACATGTGTGTATTGAGAC